CCAGCAAAGGACCAGCTTAAACCAGCAAAGGACCTGCTGAGCATAAGCCAGCAAAGGACCAGCATAAACCAGCATCCCAGCATCAAAACATACCTAACCAGCATATGCTGGTTTTTTCAACAGCATCCATAAGACCCGGAAGTATTGTCCAAAACAGTCGTTATAAGAGCATGTTCAAGGCCTAATTATTATCCGAGCCATTACATGAAAAACCTCCATTTATAACCCTGATGTTTCAGTTTTCAAACAGTAATTAAGGCCTTAATGAACAGAGCTCTGCTGCCCCCACCTCACATCCCTGAGCTCATTTGCATGTTAATTATCATTAGCGTCATGGCGGGAAAGAGCTAAATTAGCAGCTCAATCATGTTTTTGGCTACTCAGAGTGTCACTGAAGCACAACAGGCCATAATATTCAGTCTAAAACCATCGTGTGCTCTTTCCCACCTTAGTTTTAGAGTCTTTCTGAAAAGGACAAACTTTAAATGACCGTAGCTCGAAAAGCTGCTTTTAACACCAGACCACTCAAAAGTGTGGGATTTTACTGTGAAAACTTTTTATAAGCACCATTTTAACGTCTGATCATGTTTTTCTTTGACAAATCGTAATAGTCTTTAGGCGACTACTACTACAACTACTACTTCTGCTACTACTAAACTAAAAATCAAATATCCAAACGCATGTGAAAATGGCTGTCTAATAACTGGGAGTTTGCTGAAGCCACATCAAGAGTTGAGTGGTGTCTCAGCAGTGAATTTGCTCATGTTAATAACTCTGAACTGTTTTACCAAAAGAGGGCGACACAGCATCACATTTCACATTAGAAGAGCTCAACATTTTACGAATCAGGTGCATGTGCAATGCTAATATGCTTATTAAAATTACTTATTTATTTGTTTATTTAAACAAGTGTACTGAGTAAATCTTTAAAAATGGGGTTATTTGAGGGTATTTGTTTGTTGTAGGTCACAGTAGACGATTGATTTCAATAGTTATGTGTAATACCTTTCAAGTTTAGACCTACACTACTGTAATTATAACTACTGTTAAATAACACTACTGTTTTTTTTTTAATTGTGTAAATATGGTACCCCCCCCCCCACACACACACACACACACACAATCACCTAACTCTATAAAACTAATCCTATAATTTACAGATTAACGTGTGATCACTTAAGTCTTTCGATTTCTAATACAGTGGACATTTGTGTTCAAATTAAATCAAAACAATTTTTTTTAAATCAAAAGAAGTGCACTTGTAATGTACTTTAACTCCTAAAAGTTTTTAAAAACTGATAAGAAAATATTAATGAAATAAAAGGCCACTTACATGACAGTTTCCTAACACGCTTAAGTGCACTTTTAAATTGTACACTTTGTATAAGTATCAAATGAACAGTTTTACCTTAACCTACATTTGAAATCATTATATTTGAATCATTTTGTCATGCGTTAAAGAAGTTCACACTTATTTTAAACACTTATCTTTAAACACTGATTTCAATGTGCTAAAGTACAAAATGAGTCAAAAAGCATTCTTAAGTTCAACTAATTACGTTTAATATAAATTTTAACTATATAATCATTTTCGTTTAATTACAAATAAAATGGCCACAAACATGTACGTCATGCTTAAGTATATTCTTTTAAAGCAATATATTCCTATAATAATATACTTCCATAGTATGGCAAAAAAATACTATGGAAGTCAATGGCTACACTCTTGAAAATAAAGGTGCTTCACGATGCCATAGAAGAACCTTTTCGTCTAAATGGTTCCATAAAGAACCTTTAACATCTGAAGAACCTTTCTGTTTCACAAAAGGTTATTTGGGGCGAAAAAAGATTCTTCAGATTATAAAAAGGTAAGAAAGAGATGGTTCTTTAAAGAAGCTTTGACTGAATGGTTCTTTGTGGAACCAAAAATGGTTCTTCTATGGCATCGCTTGAAGAACCTTTTGAAGCACCTTTATTTTTAAGAGTGTACCAGCAACTGTTTGGCTACCAACATTTTTGGAACCACGTGGTGAGTAAATGATGCTTTGGACGAACAATACTGAATCTTAGTCTTCAAGATAAGAGTAAATAAAATAAATATTGATCTACTAAAATCATTGTTAATGTATCATAATATCATAATTCCCCAAATACTTACGGATGTCTTCTTTCTGATTGTTATGCGAAGCTTTAGTGCTGTATAATCATGCTGAATGTAAAACCCTAAGGGTGGTCTCATCATTGCAGATTTATGAACCTATTGTCCCACCTAACGGCCTAATTAAGTAGGGCTGACATTAAATGGGTGTAATTTAGTCCAGGGCTGTGCCAGATCTACGACCGCTGTGGATCATCAGAGTGGATGTTGATGCTGCTCACCAAACCCAGACTCCTGCTCCGTTCTGGATTCCACTGGACGGATGAATGGATGGAGGACAGGGAAATTTGATTTGGAATAAGAGCATGTCTTCCTGGAGCGAGGTGTGCGTACACAGCTGTGCAAATAACAGAGTTTATCCTGCATCACCTGCAAGCAATGAAAGCAGCGCTTCAGCATTCTGCTCAGAGAAGATCCCATGCCAACCTGAGTGAGCCAGAGCTAAATAACACACAGACGAATGCCATCCAACACATTCCAATAATTATTCACTATAATAGTCGATAAGATCAACTTTTAAGCAATATTAAGCAATATTAACAAGCATTAATAGTGTTTGCTAAAGTAACCATCACTATTATTTTATTTTTAATTTTTATGGATGAAACAATGACATATCAATGTTCAATGGCAATGCCAGATCATGCATAAATCATGCACAGCATAAATATACTGTTCAAAAGTTAGTAAGATTTTTTAATGCATTTATTCAGCAAGGATGCATTAAAGCCTACTGTTTAAAAACAACAAACAACAACCAAATATTGAATATTTACTCATCTTTTGAA